GAGAGAGAGGGACAGACAGAACAGAGAGAGAGGGACAGACAAGAGAGGGCAGACAGAGAGAGGGCAGACAGAGACAGAGACAGAGACAGAGAGAGACCGACGACATGAGTTAAAAGTCGCGCCATTAGGCATGGGTCCGTCACCCGATGTTTACATTGGCACACACCAGTCATCGTTTTGACAACTTTTAGTTCTGTCATGACATGCCGGGTTTCCTAGGCGCAAATGGCCTTTGAACACCAATGGCAACGGCAGAAATTCCCATGATGGGCCACCAACTACAAAGGCGCATTTCAACATTGATGTACAAAGGAGGCAGTTTCGGCCTACCGTCGACATGTGGTCTGTTTGAAAGGGACATGGGCATCGCGCGTTTAAACCGAACCAATTACCGGGTCATGGCCCAGCCATTGTGCAAGGGCCCACACAACCCATTTGGAGCAGAGCGGCACCCACGGGCCGCATGAAAGCACGCGCCATCGAGCGCTCCGATCGGCCGCTGGCACGGGACGGCGAGTCCGGCTGCCGTTCCCAGCCATAGCGACGCGCTCCGGGGCGTCGCTTTATCGGCGCACTTCGCCCTATTGACACGGCGCTGGATGCGTCGCGGCCCACGTTTGGTTCATCGACCGGCGTCGCCGCCCGAGCGGAGCGTTGGCCAGCTGACCCCGCAGCATCAACAGCACGGCCCGCAAAACCCATAGCGGGCCCCTTCTGAGTCAAGGGCGACAGTAATTATCCAACTATTTGGGTCGTTGAGTATCGCAGCCGAGAGGGTACTGCCATCCAAATACGTCTCGCTTCAGTTGCGAATTCGGCACCATGCCAGCATATGATAACAAGAGGTTACAGGCGCTACCCGTACCAGGGTGAACCGGACTATCATCGTGTGAGTGTGGGTACACGTCTGTGGAGGTGAAGTGCTGATGCCTCTCACACCCTGCTAATTGCCTAACTACATAAAAAACGTGAATGTCTAGTTAGGCGGGGCATGATGCTGCGTGTCGGCTGTGGCAGTACGTGCCTCCCTCCCCCTCTCCCTCTCCCCCTCTCCTCCTCTCCCTCTCCCTCTCCCTCTCCCCCCCCCCCCCCCGGCTGCGTCAGCGTCTCGGCGTTTCCGGCCCGCCGGTCGCCCTAGATGCCGCGACCGGGCCGACCCGCCGCTCCGGCGACGCACCTTCCTCGCCCTGCTTGATGAAGATGAAGGTGGGCATGCTTGATCTCGTAGTCGGCAGCCAGGTCGTCCACTCCTCCACGTCCACCTTCAGGAACACACGTCCGTGTGCTCCTTGGCCATCGCCTGCGGCAGGTCGGCGGCATGGTAAACACGGTCGGAGCCAGCGGCCGCAGAGGCGCGTCATCGTCCGCCGGGACTCGGCGACGCAGAAGCGCAGGGTCGAGCGCACACGAGACCGGCTCGCTTCGCGTTCGCATTCACCCCTGCTACAAATACTGACGTCGTAGAAACACAGGCAGATGCCGCCACGTTTTTGAGTGATGCTGATCCTGATGAAAAGGGTATCTTAACCAGCAGGAAAAGCATCATTACTGCATGGGTCACGGCATCGTAGCAAGGATAGGGAAAAGCACACCGGGCTCGCCTTCGAAACGCCGTGTGCAATCGTCCGTGACTAGTGTATGTTGCATGACTGAAACCGCACGCTCACAACCGCACGCTAATGGATTGCTCCCGTTCCTCGACGACCGCAAGCGTCTTATGCTGTATCCGCTCGGCGGTCGACGCGCTGTAGGCATTACGCAAGCGGGCTCTGTACTAGTCCCGCTACAAAACCGATGCAGTGTCGCCACGGCCTGACGTCCTGCGTCACAAACGCCGGATCATCGCTCACGGGCATTGCCCCCCCCGTTATCAGTCAGTCGCCTAACGTCCGCGGGGCGCCTCACCCAGCAGCTCCGAGCCACCGAGCGCCGACCGAGCCGGCTCACGGGGAGCTCGAGACAGCGCTCGTCTGCAATGTGGCGACCAGCTGCCCCCGGACATCCCACCGGCCGTGTGGCAGTTCGCGGCTAAATACATGCAACGCGTAACAGCTGCCATGTCGGTCCGTCCCCGAGAACAGATCACGAAAGAAAAAAGAAGAATCGGCCGTTTTCCTCCGCGCGGCCGACCGCGCACGCCAGGCATGCGAGGCGCGATCTGGACAAGGTCGCCACACACGCGTCCGCGTGACTCAGCCGGATGTTTGCACGCACCAGAGCCGGCCGCCAGCCTCCAACGGGCGGATGGGCGGACACAACATGCCACGCGTCATGGCTCCGTCAAGCGCCGGCTGGCTGGTGACCGGCCCGGCCGGCTCTGGTGTGCCGCCTCGGCGGCTGGCCCGGCGCACCGCCGGCGTCGCCGATCGCTCCAGACATGGCGCCGGTGACGGCGGCAGGGCGGCCCAGCCGCAGCTGCTCCGCGCCCTCACCAGCCGGCTGCCGCACCTGCGCCGCCGCCGGCTGTGGCGCCGGCGCGGCGACGCTGCAAGCGCGGCGGGACGGCGCCATACCGTGCTGGCACGGCGACGGGCGGACACCAGGCAGGAGGCCGGCACCGCACGCTCACGGTTGGGTGCTGACGGGATGTGAGGGACTCGCTGTCGGTACAACTTCGCTGGCAACGAAATCTAGGATAGACGAAGCTAAGTTGGAACTGGTACAGAAATGCAACGCGGGTCAGTGGTAGCATGCCATCGTTGGAGGCGGCTACGAGGAGAATGCAGTGAGATTGAAAAACTGCATACGAGTGGTGAAATTCAGGGCGCGTCGCTGATGGTCACAGTTATAAACATGCGACAAAAACAGCTCCAAAAACATACAGAAAAAGACGGGCAAGGAAATGACGAATAGGCAGGTAGTAAAATGAACGTGGGTGGGTAGGAGGAAACAAAATTAAGAAAGAGCAGACAACTGGAGGGCATGGGGACTCAGGCCAGCACGGCCAGCACCAAACGATGAAGACCGAGCAAGGCATTGCCAGCAAGCGAAAGATGCAATGGCGACGCACCAGTGCTCTCGGAGAGCACCAGAACACGAGCCACTGAGCGATGCCGCTCCACGCGGCAGCTTTTGCCGTCCCGCTCACAGCTGGCCGATCGTTTCGACAAGGTCAAGCGACGAGCGGGTGCGCTGTAATTACGGCTGCGCCTGGCCAGCGGAGCGGTTCGAACAGGTCTGCAGTCTGAGCGGCTCCAACAGGTATGTAGTCTGAGCGGCTCCAACAGGTCTGCAGTCTGAGCGGCTCGACCAGACCTGCGGTCTGACCGGCTCGAACAGGTCTGCAGTCTGAGCGGCTCGAACAGGCTTGCAGTCTGAGCGGCTCCAACAGGTCTGCAGTCTGAGCGGCTCCAACAGGTCTGCACTCTGAGCGGCTCGAACAGGCCTGCGGTCTGACCGGCTCGAACAGGTCTGCAGTCTGAGCGGCTCCAACAGGTCTGCAGTCCGACCGGCTCGACCAGACCTGCAGTCTTACCGGCTCGAACAGGCCTGCAGTCCGACCGGCTCGACCAGGCCTGCAGTCTGACCGGCTCGACGAACAGGTCTGCAGTCTGAGCGGCCCCAACAGATCTGCAGTCTGAGCGGCTCCAACAGGTCTGCAGTCTGACCGACTCGAACAGGTCTGCAGTCTGAGCGGCTCCAACAGGTCTGCAGTCAGACCGGCTCGACCAGACCTGCAGTCTGACCGGCTCGAACAGGTCTGCAGTCCGACCGGCTCAACCAGACCTGCAGTCTGACCGGCTCGAACAGGTCTGCAGTCCGACCGGCTCAACCAGGCTGCAGTCTGACCGGCTCGAACAGGCCTGCAGTCTGACCGGCTCGAACAGGTCTGCAGTCTGAGCGGCTCCAACAGGTCTGCAGTCCGACCGGCTCGACCAGACCTGCAGTCTTACTGGCTCGAGCAGGCCTGCAGTCCGACCGGCTCGACCAGGCCTGCAGTCTGACAGGCTCGAACAGGCCTGCAGTCCGACCGGCTCGACCAGGCCTGCAGTCTGAGCGCGTCGAACAAGTCTGAGCGCTTGCGTTCCGATGACCCCACGCCCTGGCTAGAGGCGCAAGCAGCCGCTGTTAGCTCCGTTCAGCATACAGGCGTTCCGGTGCAGAGGTGCCACAGCCCGCCGTAACAAGTGGTGACTCGGACCGCGCTGTACAGGCGCAGGCGCGAGCGCGTCCGACGCCGGGGGTGACGTCACTCTGCCGTCACGTGACAGGGCGTGACGTCTGCTGCGGGCAGCACGAGGAGTACCAGCTGTAGCCATGCCTTACAGTGGTGCTCATATGACGTCATATGCCGGCAAGTGCGTACTGGCGGATCGTCCATCGTTACACATGTATGCGTGCGCGGTAACATTACGCGTGTATGTGAGCAATGATGATGTGCAAGCAAACAGTTGGCGGGCGTCCTAACAGCACCTGTGAACTGCACAGGAAACCGACTGACGAGCCTCAGCCATGACGACCTTGCAGCCTCAGGGTCATCGGTGTGAGTCATACTCGGTTTGGAAGGTTGCCAAGAACCTGCCAGTCGAGGCTCCCAATTCTCTATCAAAGTTCTGGACCTGGGTGAAATCCTCAATCAGTGTCACAGACAGTACATCGATGACAAAGTGCGCCCGGGGCTTAACATTTACTTCAACACAATCCCTTACAGTTCCGGGAACAGCGCCCGCTTGCGGTTCTCGGAGCAGCCATGGACGTCGCATAGCAACTGACAGGTCGTCTGGGTGGATTCTTTTCCTCGCCTCGCGGGCACTGGGGCGTTGGACGAAACCACGCCGAAGAAGTGGGTTCATACCAACACTGCTGCCATGCCTCGACAGGCAAAACGCCTTCAAATTCGCTATATCCCAGAACGGTCATCGGCAAAAATACGGGAAGGGGAAAAGCCGCATTGGTCGATCGGGTTAATTTCCCACCTTCCTTCGATATTGTCATGAGAAGTCAGGCAAACCAGCCGTTGAGCGTCACACAAAGGTAACTTCTGGAACACTTTCACGAGCGTCTGCTGCAGCGCGTCCGTTTGTTATCGCAGACGGCAGTCAGCCGCGGTCGGCAGGCCACCGGATCACCCCCGGGCGTCGCTCCCTGTCCCCCCCCCCCCCTCCCGAACAGCGCAGCGGGCTCGCGTCGCCCACGCCTCCCGGGGCGCCGAACCGCTGAGTCAGCGTGACGTCACGACCCGGACAAACCCGCGGCCGGGCGAAAATTGGGTCGGTGTGATCACGACGGCGACCGAGAAACACAGAACCCTCCCCGACGCCCTGACCCCGGCCCCTCCCAGGCACATGCACGCCGTGCCGGCGCGGCTCCCTTCTAGAACAGCGGCGATCGGACCGACCGGCGACAGAGCGCGCGCACCCATGGCCAGGCTCCAAAGCCTGACACAACGCGGACACAAACTGAGGCGAGGTTTGCGGACAGATGGAAGCCGCTTGGACACTAAACTGTCATAAAGGCCTCGGCGCAGACATTGCGACTTCAACTGCAGAGGATTAACAGTCATGCACCCCGTGCACGAATGTTTTCAGTGACAGACTTCGACCACGACGAATCCGAAACAGGAACATATGCGCAGCCACTCACAACGGGGTGGGTGAGGGGGAGGGGTGCAGCTTCAAAGTTCCCACTAAAGACCCATTTTGCCACAGGCGCGCAAATCGTCCACTACAAACTCAGTTCGCGGCAGACGCGCAAAGTTTCTTGCTTGGCGTGCAACAATATCGCAGGTTTCGATCTGTGTAGCTTTGCGTGTCTGCGTTCCATTTTTTATCGTGAAGTTTGCGCGTACATTAGTACATATCATGACTTCCATCACGGGAGCACGTAGCCTCCAGGGCCACTACATGAGTACGCCTCCGATTCGAAACAAGGTAGCTGAAGAACGTCTGTTCCATTCACCTATACGCTGTGAAACGCGTCCAGCCCCGACAACCACGCTCGTGGCCAAACGTGCATAGCCCACAGCTCCAGCTCCACGTCCCCCAGCCGCTCAGTAAGCAGGCTTGAACGCTCTTTGCTCAAGCCTCAGGCTCAGGCCTCACCCGGAGTTTCTAGCAACACGCGACGCGTGCGGCGCGGGCGGCGGAAACTGCGCCAGTTGCGTGCCCAGTTCCGCTAGCGAGTCATTTTGCAGCGTATGCAGTGTCAATTGAGCTGCTTCGTCATTCACGCAAGGCCATCTTCGGAGTACAATGTACGTGCACACGCCCGTCAGAAGTGTATAAACTCTCAAGTGCAGACGCAGGGCTGACCGAGCGCTCGACGTCAAGTGTTTAGCTGTTTCAATCGATAAAGATATCTTAGTCCAAGGTACGCTATCCGTGGCATGCTGCAGCCCAATCTAAGTGACCAGACGCACAAGATAAGTAAGGGATGATTGGACTCCTTGGCCGACATCACGCACGGCACGAAGACCACGCCAGCTGGGGAGGCCAGCATCCTCCCCGGCGAGATGGCGCTGCGGGCGGCCGCCCCGGCGCAGGCTCGCGCTGGCCCACCCGTCCTGTCTCTGGCCCCTGTCCAATCTGGGAACGGTTCGAATTGATCTTGAAAGATTTTCGGAGGCACTATTTCGGATGGTCCTTTTCGCGCGCTCGACATCCGTGGCCTGGTGTTATGTGCAGGGGACAAAGCCGCTCGGTTTTACGGAAACAGAACCCCGGCCATAGCTGTACTCGCTGCTAAGATTACTAGCGCGCAGGTTCAAAATTGTTTGTGCAAGTCGATTCTGCGCAAAGATGGACGTTCTCAGGGAGACATGGGCTGGCCTTTTCTTCTCTTTTGACACTAGGGGCATGTCATCGTTCCCGGCCATGGGCTGAAGGGCCCAGCGCGGGGTACCTTCCAGTTGCAATTCTGGCGACAGAAGGGCAGGGTCCCCTGGTCAATCTAGAGGCCTTCAAAGGGATGCATTATACACTGGTTCTCTCCCAATGCAACAGGCCTTCTAACTCGCGCAGTTGTCCCCACATCGATGCAAAAGCCCTCATTGACGCAAAAAGATCCCTTGTCGCCGCGGTTGGTCGACTAATTGGCGCGTAGACTCCAGTTCGGCTTAACCGGCTCTTAGCGGAAACAGGGTACAGGGCCTTTTCCACACTGGAGACCCTGACCGACAAAGGACCCTTCGACGATCTTACTGCAGACTCATAAGTTATTACATCGTCATAATACCGTAAGTTGTCATATATCCTTTCATTGTCAAGGGCACAACTAACACAAGACACTGGCATTCGGAGTCCAGCCCCCGTCCCTGTTCAGCGAATGTTTCCCCGGCCGACTGGCGACTCCTTGCTGACACAGGGCATGCTGTTCGACACTGCGGGCCCCCGATCGACACAGAGCCCCTCAATGCTACAGATCAGCAACCGACCAATCCAAAACATGGGTCCTGGCCTTGGGTCCTGGCCTTGTCCCTGCCCGGGAAATGGGCCCACAAAGCTGAGACCGACACGTAGACAACTGTTCAGTGTTGCCAGTCTCTGGCCGAAATTGAGGCACGCATTGTTCCAGGGGATTCTCAATCGGCGCAAAGGGCTGTCCGGACTGGCATTTGAGG